AGAGAGAGAGAGAGAGAGAGAGTGTGTGTTCATTCATCTGGTTCTGGGGCTGGGGAAACCCAGCCCTCGGGAACCTAGGTCCTGCGGGATAGCTCCATTGGGAAGGGACTTGCACAAGGGAGAAGTAGAGCTCCATATGAAAACACAAGTGACACAAGCAGTACATTGATAGAATTACAGAATCCCCTCCCCCAGAAGAGTAACCCGAATAAATAAGCATGCCCCAAAGTAACGGGCAAATCTGGTAACACCAGAGGCCTCCCTGCCAGTGAGGACTCCCCTTCCACTCTCCCTCTCTGGCAGAGTCCTCATAACCCTGACAAGGCTGGGCCCAGGATTCCTGGGGGGCTGGACCCCCAACCCTGCTGTGGTCACCTAGGACAGGGGCTAGGGTGTCCCCACTCTGGGGTACTCTCTCTGCACTGGGCACTTCCCTGACCCACTGATCATTACATACAATTTAAAGCAAATGCAAGTTATTTAATTAACAATTTTAAAAAGAATAAGGAAAAATGGGAAAGGTTAAAGGAAAACACATCACCCCACTCTGTGGCAGGGAACATTACAAACAGTGTCTCTGGAACATCAGGGCAGTTCACAGTCTATTCCTTGTAGGTCCCAGGCTGCCTTCCCAGGCCCTGGCTGTGCTGCAGGGATGCTGCGGGTTGGACACTTGCTCTGGTGGTGGCCACACACCTCTGGGCTTTGGGTGGTGGGACCCTTCTTCCCAGCGTCAGCCCCCCTGTCAGGTTAAGATCCCCCTCCCAGTCTGGCCTGCAAGGACTCTTGGCTGGGGGTGTTTCTGCGCTGGGCCCTTTGCCCAGGGTCCCCCCTTGGTTGGCCCCAGTTGCTCACTACACCTGGCTCCAGCCTGCTCCAGCTCCACTGTTCTAGCTCCGGCTCCACTTTGCCTCAGCACTGATGCTGCTGCTCTGCCTCCAGCCCCCGGGCTGCTTCTCTGGCCCCTCTGGCTCTGTGGCTGCAGCTCTGCTCCCAGCAGCGGATCTGCTCTCCCTGGGCTGTGTCTCTGGCTCTGCTGACTGGCACGGTTCTGCTCCCCAGCATAGCTCAGGCCCCTGCTTTCTCCTTAGCTCGGTCCTACTCTGTCTGACCCAGGCAATTTCAGCTCACATGGAGAACAGGGCCCCCCGGCCTTCTGATTCCCTGATTAGCCTGCCCGCCCTGTCAATCAGGCTGACCTGGAGCATTGGCCTCTCCCCATTGTTCCTGGGGACTGTCAGTCTCAGGGTCAGGGCCAGCTCCCGGCACCAGCATTCCAAGCAGGTGCTTGGGGCGGCAATCTGCAAGGGTGGGCAGTCCGTGTGTTTTTGCCGCTTAAAGCAGCACGCTGAATTGCCGCCATGGACAGCGGGGGCCGTCCGTGTGCCGTTAGGGCGGCACGTGCGTTTCCGCGGCGCTGGCAATTCGGTGGCAGCTTCTATGTTCAGCTGCCTGCAGCGGCAATTCGGCAGCTTCTGTCTTCCGGCTGAAGACAGAAGCTGCCGCTGAATTGCCGCCGCCTTGGAGACACGCTTGCTGCCCTAATGGCACACGGACAGCCCCCGCCGTCTGGGGCAGCAATTCGGCACGCTGCTTGGAGCGGCAAAAACAGTAGAGCCAGCCCTGCTCAGGGGACTGATTTCTCATCGACCCTTCCCCTTTTAGTACTGGGAGCTAGCAACCAAAATACTCCCATAGAGTACTTGGTCCTGCCAGTGAAGGCAGGAGGCTGGACTTGATGACCGCTCAAGGTCCCTTCCAGTTCTAGGAGATAGGATATCTCCATTAATTTAGGGGGGAGGAATAGCTCAGTGGTTTGAGCATTGGCCTAGTAAACCCAGGGTTGTGAGTTTAAGCCTTGAGGGGGCCACTTAGGGATCTGGGGCAAAAATCTGTCTGGGAATTGGTCCTGCTTTGAGCAGAGGGTTGGACTAGATGATCTCCTGAGGTCCCTTCCAAACTTGATATTCTTGGGGGGGAAAATAATGTTAGTAAGGAGTCCCCTTACACTTAGGAGTGAGGACTGGGCAGGGCACAAAAACAAGATGATCTGTACTGACTCCCATGACTCCTAAAATAATCTGAAGTTGCAATATGAGCACTGGAGTATAGTTTTGGTTTTATAAGAGGCCAGTGAAAAAAGATATGAGCACCAAACATGTATGTGTAGAGCCTCTTTCCCCCTACCCCATTTTCTTGTTTTACCAGCAACAGGAAAAAATTACCCACATATTACTGTATGCTCTGCTGATTGCTGGATCAGGCACTAAATGAGATCAGTTTTTCCTCATGGTTTTCTCTCAGGACTCTGCCAGTCCTATTTTGCTTTTCAGGTTAACATTAGGTGCACCCCAATTCCCAAACCCGCCTTTGAAGAGCATTCCCTTGTACTATCCAGTTCCTGTCACGGGCCACTAACAGGAATAACCTAGTAACAAGACAGTATACACACAGCTGGAAGGTTACAACTCCGGTTTCACACATTTGCTTAATAGCAAAGCACTGAGATGTATTTATCATAAAATGAGAATAAGTTTATTAACAAAGATAGAGATTTAAGCAGTGCTTAATTTGTAACGAAAGAAGTGCTGGAGCTCAAGCAATTTTTTTACTTTCATAACTGATGCGACAAACCCAGAGGTGCCAGGGTTATTAACTGTCAAACCTAGAGGTGCCGGGGCTCAGCCCGGGCAAGCCCTGACACAAATTAAGCACTGGATTTAAGTAAGGATAATGGAAACAGAATTGGGTACAAATAAAACAAAAGTATAATACACTTTCTAGAAACTAAATCTTAACAGACCACAATTCTGGTCTAAAGCTGTTTTGTACCCTCATCCTGTCTGCAGAACTTGCTGGTTTTCAGTCAAACCTACAACCAAATGATCAAAAACCCTCCTCCTCCTCCAAGAGTGTTCTTCGGTGAATTGAATAAGAGGGTGTTGTCCTTACACCTTCAGTTATAGTTCAGTAAACCTTTGAAATGCATTCCAGTTGGTTTTTCTCCAGTGTGCTGGCACCATGTTGCCCTCTCATCCCCCTGTTAACTTGTTTTTCCTGTTTACTTCCCTGTAAATGTAGCTCCCAGTTTGTTTGGATCACAATGCTTAATTTACATATGGGAGTGATAATTACCTTCCCTTTAGTCTGGAAGAAATATGTTTCTCCCTTAGATATGTATTTGAAAGTATAATATCAGTAGAAAATATGTAATTCCTCATATAGTGTCAATGCACACATTCCACTATGATATTAATGACCAATGTGTGTCACCACCTTTCATGTGATACCTTACAAGACACTTGCTGGATAAATACTATAAATGGTGTTAGATGTAGTGAGTTTGTCAGTCCTGTTAGGAGTTGCTGACACAGAGTTTACTGAACCCTTTGCCAGCTGGCACCAATGGCTGTATCACAGAACTCCACCAGGGTCTCTTTTGAGAAGGAGGAGGGGAGGTCAAAGTAGAGGAGGACTCTAGCTCATTAGAAAGCTTGGTGGAGAGTTACACTTTTAAGGATATAGTCTCATCACAAAGTGCAGTGAATTAAGATTAGAAATCACTGTACAGCAGAACAAGAATATACCTCATGGTACTATGAGTCAGACTCTGGATGCAGTGATTAGAGCTGGTTTTGAAATTTTCAACATTTTTAGAGAAAATCTGAAGGTTTTTTTAGCCCATTTGTGACCAGCCCTATCAGTAGTGACTGACGAAGAATCATTTGAATGCTGCTGCACTGAGTACAGAATGGGAGTTAGCCAATCTAAGTTTCTCATAGGCAGTCCAAATGCCTCTCCTTATGGCTATGGAATGTGGCTGTTACAATGACTTGCCATTTCATATCAAATGCAGAGTATGACTTACTCAGACTGCATTTCATAATTAGACCTTCCCATCCTGGGACATAACTTCAGGGTAAGGAAAGGGTATTCTGGGTTCATGGTGCATTCCCTTCTCTTTGGAGAGTGCAAAAGACCAGCAGCAATTACCTGTATGCCAGGCCACCTGGTGCTCACTGTTGATTCTGAGTCATCTCTGGCCATGCAGTTGGGATTCCGAGGTTTCCTGTCTTAAATGTTGACATTTATTCAGTTGCAGACTATATTAAATTGCAGTTTGCTCTGTATTTCCATAACTTGCTATAAAATGGCCCTTGTTTGGACTGTCACTATTAATAAATAATTAATAAATATCAATTTTAAAAATATCCCAAAATATGTTACAAAAAAATTGGTCTGATGTACACCATATTCTAAAGAAAGATCTACCTCTGTTTAGAACCTTTCCTGACCTCTGGGCTGAAAAAAACCCAAAATAAAGTATTAACAAAAACACAGTTGACTGCCAAAGGAAATGAGTTCCTGTAAGGACTAAAACAATAAGTCTCCTCTGTACTGAACTCTCAGAGGGAATATGCTGCATTTCCTCCTGTTCTTTATCAGAGTCCCCAAAATAAGTTGGAATGGGCAGTGACTTTGCACAGTCTCTGCACACCTTTTCCACTTACCAATTAGGGCCTGCCTCACAGAGAGAGAACACACCCTGCCTGGCTCTGCAAGGGAATTTCAGTGCGACAGATTACAAGCATGAAGCTGCTTGGAGCTGCCCTTCTCTCCCTGGCTGTGTTCAGCATCTGCACCGCAAATGGTAAGAGTGCACTGTTCTTTGTCACTACTTTGACTTTCTTGGTAAGCAGCTAAGTGCCCTCGGGCACAGTTATCGCTTTATGGGTTTCTGCTAATGAAGGCTTCACCCCACTGTACTATAGCAGCTCAGTGGTTCATTCCCACATGTATGGGCTGAGTAACTGCATTTGGAGGAAGAGGCACTGCCAGGAGGGCACTGGTTTTTAATCGAATTAAATGTCTATAGTGAAAATAATATAGTGACCAATTGGTTTCTGTGACATATCTCTGTCCAGCTGTCATGAGCCTCCCAAACCTGAGGGATTAAAAGCACCCAGCAAGTGGGAAAAGCCACTTACTCAAAAATGTGTTTCCCCTTCTCCTTTGAAAAATATCTTTTGGGGGACTTTTAAAAGGAATTGAAATGTTTGTCAGATTTGAAAATACCATTTAACACATTAGGGAACTTACAGTGGACTCAGCGTGTCCTAGTGTAACCCTGCTGACTTAATTGGAATTACACCAGCAATGAATTTGGGCAAGTCTGCTTATCAGAAGCCAGTGTATGTTGACCCCAAATACATGTAGTCTTGTAGCATTCCTCCAGTGTAATCCCACAATGCCCAGGGCAGTAATGTCTTGAGTTCTGCAGTGTGAAAAAGTGACTCCCGCCTCCAAATACTTGATGATATTACTAGGTGACATAATGGCCATTGACCTGCTTTTTCTAATGTTTTTCTGCCTAAAAGTTTGTGTACTTTCAAAGCAGAATAAATTACTTTTCACGAGGAGGGAAGCAACTATAACTTAAACTATCATCTCATCATCTTTATCAAGGATTAATTTGAAAACAAAGCTGATTTTCCTCTCTCTCATTTCATTGGCCCATTATGCAGAAGATCTGTAGTCATAGCTTTTACAGATATCATTAGAGCAGATGGCTTTCAATGACTGGCTACTAACCTGGGAACAGAAACTCTGTTATTAAAGGATTAAGTAATTGCAGGCACTGTGTCCTCAAACTTTTACTTGGGTTATGTGTTAGAAATTGACGCACAAATAAACAAATGTGTCTTGTGTGGTGTAACTTGTGTTTTTATTCTGGCTCATTGTTGTTAAAAACGTGATGGACATTGACATGTAATGTTGTTGCTACAGGAAAATTTGCTTTTCAAACCCTGCCAGATTAGTATGAACTCTGAAAGTACGTGTTTGGGCTGCTATTTATGCTCTGTCTGCTGTGGTTAGAATGAGCAGCCTTCTTGCCGTTGTTAAACCTTGAATTCATTGCAGGTCTTTTGAAAAGCAAGGTGGAATTAGTTCGGTAGGCGCAGGCTCAACAGTGCTATTTATAAAAGCCTATTAGAAAGCAACACAGGTTAAAGGAGATGCAAAGGAGAGCTATGATTTCTGTAGAATGCATTTCCTAACACCTCTCCTGCGGCTGAATGGGAATAATTGGGTAGTGCAGTAACAGTTCAGCTCATCATGCTGAATTAGCAAATATCATCAAGTAATGGACATTTGCTTTTAACTATTGTATTCTGTTAAAAAAATCTTAAACTCAAGGCAGACATGCTGAAACTCCATTGATAAAATAATAAGAAAAAATGAAGACCATGTGTGGAAAAATACAAGTCATATGTCTCCATCTCTATCATACAAAAGAAACATGAGTGGAGCTGGAAAAACTTCATAAAATTGATAATCTGTGGAGGACAGAAAGGAATCCACTCCTGTTTGACACAATCTTATTTAAAGGGACACTATCAACTTGAAATCTGATCAGTTTCAAAAAATGAGATGAGCAAATTCAGGTACTACACTTGCTACTGAATCCCCCTGCTAGTTTCTGTTATTTTATAATTCCACTTTCCAATTTTTAAAAAATATTTCTCTCTCCTATTGCCCTGTGAAAGACCCACCCAGAGACTATATGGGGAGAGTGAAACTGTTATACACACAAAGTTCTGTCAAATGCTCAAAATGTACAAATTGAGAAAATTGAGGATTATTTTTCCTTTAATTTCATTTGATTACAATAATCCTAGGTGTTCTTTGTAACAACAGCAGGTAAAAAATGTCAGGCAGTAACTTTGATTTAAGTTGACAGTGTCCCTTTAAGTAAAATGCAGTTATGGCAACCTCACTTTTTTTTTTTTAAGTCAGGTGACATATGTTCACTACTTTCCCATCTTAGGAACCTAGTAAGTGGCCCTCTCAAAGCTAACTGGCTGCTCCTCTAGTCTCTGAGAGTATGCTTTCGTTGCAGCTAGCAGTGACTTGGATGGAAAGACTCATGGTGGTGGAGCTCGTGCTAGAGTGGGAAGTTGCAGCTCTGGCAGAAATTCTGGCTAGCCACTCAAGCTCAGATCCAGGGCCTTGAGTTGCAACCCCCATGCTGCTGTTTTTAGCAAGCTAGCTCCAAATCCTCTATCTTGAGTGTCTGCCAGGGGTAGGAGGTTTGCATTCAGCTGCACTTTAGACATACCCTGAAGACTTTCAATGGTCTCCCCTTCTCATATCTTCAGATAATGTATGGCCTTTCACAATTGTCTGGGAGCATTATAGGGTGAGTGGGGAGGGCAAAAATCACCCTCTAAAGCATCAGGATTGACTACCAATGGAGGCAGGAAATGACAGAGCCGCTTTTTGCGTCTCCCTATCCTAATGTGTGTTGGGTGCCTTCAAATGCATCTCAAAACTGTATAGTCCCGTGTGCATCCCTTTTTGTGCAATGGAGTGTAAATATTCCCACATT